GAATCATAACTAATAACTGGTTTGGCATTAATCAATAATCCTGACTGAAAAATAGAAGCTACTCCTCCACCTCGGCCAGTTGTTCTAAGAACATGAAAATTTAAATAATTAACATGAGTGGATTCATTTATACTAACAAAATCCTCCTGTTGTAGCCAAGTTTCTGTCAGACAAAATAAATCAATATAATGATCAGTTATCAGTTCATTAACTAACAGGGATTTAGAAGAAAGAAATTTGATGTTCAATAATCCACATTTAATGATTTTATGATTTTGCTCTGGTAAAGTAACTTTATTTTAATCAGATTTTTATGGTTTATATTTTTAGAGCTGATTTTTGGTTTATTTAATTTGAGCCGTGGGCGAGTTGACACTGTTTCAATGGGGGTGTGGGTGGGTAACAGAGGAGAAGCAGCAGAGAGGTGTGGAGGACTACAACTCTGCTTCCTGGACTGGACCCTGTGTTGTCAATAATTTGGGGGATAAACAAAATCAGCCATATTTCTAGAAAGAAAAGTGGCTCCGTCCAAAGTGGGATGGATGCTATCTCTCTGCATCAGACCATGTTTTCCCCAAAAAGAACTCCAGTTATCTATGTAGCCCACGTCATTGTCAGAACACCACCTGGACACCCAGCGGTTAAATGACGACATATGGCTAAACATGGCATCGCTGGTCAGGTTGGGGCCGGAGAAAACTACAGAGTCCGACATGGTTTTAGCAAAGTCACACACCAAAGCAACGTTAATTTTAGTGACCTCCGATTGGCATAACCGGGTGTCATTACCACCGACGTGAATAACAATCTTATTGTATTTAGCCTTAACCTTAATCAGCAGTTTTAAATAAGATTCTATGTCGCCCACTCTGGCCCCCGGAATGCATTTAACTATGGCTGCTGGAGTCCCTAAAGCCACGTTTCGGACTATGAAACTGCCAATAACCAGGGTCTGTTTCTCAGTGGGTGTGTTACTGAGCGAGGAAAATCGATTAGAAACGTGAACGGGTCGGTGGTGAACTGGGGGCTTAGCCTTAGCACTACGCTTGCTCTGGACCGTCACCCAGCCGGCCTGGGGTCCCGGCTGCTCGTGGTCTGCTGGAGGACCGCTAACGGGAGCTAGCCTCTGTAGTTCCGCGCTGTCTAAGGGGACCTGGCTAGCTACTGGTTTTTCTACAACGCAGAGCCGAGCTTCCAGTTCAGACAGCCTCTCCTCCAAAGCTACCATAAGACTACATTTGTTACATGTATCATTACAACTAAAGGAGGCAGAGGAATAACTAAACATCTGACACACGGAGCAAGTGAGAACAGAAGAAGCAGGGAGAGAAGCAGCAGCCATGCTAAGCTAATGCTAGCAGGAGCTAGCAGAGCCAAATACACCAATAAAAACTGAGAAGTATACACACACATATCATATATATATATATATATATATATATATAAACACACACACACATTTATAAATGGTAAATGGACTGTGCGCCTTTATCTTATCGAGATACTCAAAGCTCTTTACACTACAATCTGTGCCTCATTTACCCATTCATACAGCACTCTACTAGATCTCTACAAAGCTAATTGAATAAATCATTCTAAAGAGACTAATCAGAGCTTTGTCACATTCATACACTGATGGGACACACATCAGAGGCAACGAGGGGTTTAATGTCTTGCCCTGAGACACTTCGACACGTGACTGCTGGTGGATTTGAACCCCTAACTCTTGCATTGGAGGACGACTGCTCTAACTACTCAGCCACAGCTGCCCCATATACACACACACACATATATATACATACACACATACATACACACACATATATATATATATAAATACACACACACACACACACATATATATACATATACACACACACGCACACATATATAGGGGCTGCTGTGGCTGAGTGGTTAGAGCAGTCATCCTCCAATGCGAGAGTTGGGGGTTCGAATCCACCAGCAGTCACATGCTGAAGTGTCCCTGGGCAAGACACTGAACCCCTCGTTGCCTCTGATGTGTGTCCCATCAGTGTATGAATGTGATAAAGCTCTGATTAGTCTCTTTAGAATGATTTGTTCAATTAGCTTTGTAGAGATCTAGTAGAGTGCTGTATGAATGGGTAAATGAGGACACAGATTGAAAAGTGCTTTGAGTATCTTGAAATAAGATAGAAAGGCACTATATAAGTACAGTCCATTTACCATTTTATATATGTCAGAGTCAGAGTCAGAGAGTCAGAGTTTCTTTATTGTCATTCACACCTCATGTGGTACATGTGGTGGAGCGAAATTATGTACACGGGGTCCCAGTTACATCCAACAATAAAATGTCTAAGAAAAACAGTAATAACATCTAAGATATGAACTAAGAAAAACATCAACTAAATATACACTAAGCACTCATAACATAAAACATTGAACATCAGCACAAACATGAACATGAGTCTGTGAGCAGATGTGCACGCATGAACACATCAACATTGAAACAGATCAGCAGCAACATGAAACAGATCAGCAGCAACATGAAACAGATCAGCAGCAACATGATATGGTTTTTCACAGTGATTATTCTAGTTAGAGATTCATGAGTCTAACAGCCTCAGGGTAGAAGCTGTTCCTCAGTCTAGTGGTTCTACACTTAATGCTCCTTAACCTCCTTCCTGAGGGGAGTGGGGCAAAAAGTGTGTGTGCTGGGTGGGTGGGGTCCTTCATGATGCAGGTGGCCCTCTTCCTGCATCTGGAGGTGTAGATGTCTGTGATGGTGGGGAGACTAATTCCAACAGATTTCTGTGCAGCCTTCACCACTCTCTGCAAAGCTTTTCTTTCTGCAGCTGTGCAGCCTCCATGCCACACATTGATTCTCGAGCACAGGATGCTCTCCACTGCACACCTGTAGAAGGAGGTGAGGACTGAGCTTCCCAGACCAGCTCGCCTCAGCCGTCTGAGGAAGTAGAGTCTCTGATGAGCTTTCTTGATCAGGCTGGTGGTGTTGTTGCTCCAGCTGAGGTTGTCATTCATGTGTACACCCAAGTACTTGTAGCTGGAGATCACTTCCATCGCAGATCCTCTTATGTTCAGGGGGGTGTAGGTGTTTTTGTTCCTTCTGAAGTCCACAATCATCTCCTTTGTCTTCTTCACATTGATGTGAAGGTTATTCTCTCTGCACCAGCTCTCCAGGTGTTCCACCTCTTGCCTGTAGCTGGACTCATCATTGTTTGTGATGCATCCCACCACCGCTGTATCATCTGCAAACTTTACAATGTGACAGCCTGGATGTGTAGCTGCACAATCATATGTGAGCAGAGTAAACAGAAGGGGGCTCAACACACATCCCTGAGGAGAGCCAGTGCTGAGGGTTATGGTGGAGGAGGAGAGGTTGTGGATCCTCACTAACTGTGGTCTGTTTGAATATATATATATATATATATATATATATATATATATATATATATATATATGTGTGTGT